TGTTCAGATTACATTTGTTCCTCTTCCCCCCCCCCCATAACTTCCCTCCTCCCAGTTCCCGCCCCACCCTCCGCCCTCACTCCCCTCCCACTGTCCTCATCCATAGGTGCACGATTTTTGTCCAGTCTCTTCCCGCATCTCCCATTCCCCTTTCCCCCCCAAGAATAGTCAGTCCATTCCCTTTCTATGTCCCTGATTCATTATAATCACCAGTTCATTCTGTACATCAGATTATTTATTCACTTGATTCTTAGATTCACTTGTTGATAGATGCATGTTTGTTGTTCATAATTTGTATCTTTACCTTTTTCTTCTTCCTCTTCTTAAAGGACACCGTTCAGCATTTCATATAATACTGGTTTAGTGGTGATGAACTCCTTTAGCTTTTCCTTATCTGTGAAGCTCTTTATCTGACCTTCAATTCTGAATGATAGCTTTGCTGGATAAAGTACTCTTGGTTGTAGGTTCTTGGTATTCAGCACTTTGAATATTTCTTGCCATTCCCTTCTGGCCTGCAAAGTTTCTGTTGAGAAATCAGCTGACAGTCGTATGGGTATTCCCTTGTAGGTAATTGAGTCTCTTTCTCTTGCTGCTTTTAAGATTCTCTCTTTGTCTTTTGCTCTTGGCATTTTAATTATTATGTGTCTTGGTGTGGTCCTCTTTGAATTCCTTTTGTTTGGGGTTCTCCGCGCTTCTTGGACCTGTAAGTCCATTTCTTTCACCAGGTGGGGGAAGTTTTCTGCCATTATTTCTTCAAATAGGTTTTCAATATCTTGCTGTCTCTCATCTTCTGGCACCCCTATAATTCTGATATTAGTGCGCTTGAAGCTGTCCCAGAGGCTCCTTACACTATCTTCGTATTTTCGGATTCTTTTTTCATTTTGCTTTTCCGGTTGGGTGTTTTTTGCTTCTTCGAATTTCAAATCTTTGGCTTGATTCTTGTGCTCCTCTGGTCTGCTATTGGGTATAATATTCTTTATTTCAGTCCGTGTATGCTTAATTTCTCATTTCTTTATCGTAGCATCGAGGGTCTCATTAGTTTTTGCGAGGCTCTCCACAAGTTTATTTGAAGCCCTCAAAATTGCGTTTTTTAGCTCCATATCCTCCATTTCTGTCATGTTTTTTTGTCTCCACATTTTTTATGCTTTCTTGGTGCACCCCCTTGTGGTCTTTGTGCGCAGTCTTGTTCTAGTTAAGCCTTGATTTTTTTAGTTAATACTGAGGGATTTGACCACCAGGCTGACTGGCTGTGAGAATCAGCTGTGTGGAAAACTTCTGTCCTCTGGGGAGGTGCTAATCTAGCCTTTGCCTGAGGCGATCCAGCAAATGGCTCTGCGAAGGGCTTGGGCGGGGCGGGATCAACAGGGTGGGTGGAGGGAGCAGTTATGGCTGCTCTCAGTCCCGTTCCTAGAGGCTCTGCTTCTCAGAACCCCGGCAGCCGCTGCAAACCTCGGAGAGAAAGCTGCCCTCAGATTCCAACTGATGCCGGACAATCCCACTTCTCCCGTCTGAGTCTGAGTCCCTAGAGACTCGCCCGGATCTGGAGCCCAGAGTCTGAGACTCCCTCCCCACTGAAAACGACAACCGGGCCCTCAGCCACCAGCCCGCTTTGCGCGCGCACCTCGGTACCTTTGTATTTTCCACACTGCGTCTCCTCTGAGCCTTGGTTTGCTGTTCTCTTTCCTTCTAGTTGAAGAGTCTCTCCTCAGCCAGCATTCCTGTGGTTCTGGGTGATGTCTGTTCTGTCTTTTAGTTGTATTTTTGAAGTGGTTGTTTGCGCCAGCAGTCTCCGGTGTTTACCTATGCTGCCATCTTGGTTCTCCCCCCTCTGATCCCCTTCTGAGTCTGACAGCCCATGGCTCCCAGAGGCAGGAGCTGCTAGAAGTGGGGGTGGTGTGGGTGGGTGGGGGGGGTGGGGGGCCTATCCCAATGGACCCTTGGAATCTGACATGGAGGCCTCACCTACCTCTGTAGCCCCTTGTAGCCCCCACAGGCCTGTGGGAAGCGGTCCCTCCAGCACCTGTTTTTTGAGTTGGAGGTGGAGGTGCCTGGTCTGGCTGTGGTCCTGGCCATCCCCTCCCTGGCCTGAGTGTGAGTGTGTGTGCGTGTGTGTGTAGGGGGGGGGGAGGCAAAGGTTTGAGGGGGAGTTGACACCCCAGCTACAGCACATGCACCTTGGTCGCACTTACCCTGCCCCTCATCCTGGCCTTTGCACTCTAACCCAGCGTCACCCCAAAGCACACTGTCCTGGTCACTTGGTGGGCTCCAGGGGCCCATCTGTGGTTGCAGGCAGCCCCCAAAGGAAGCAGGAGTCTCCAGCTACTGCCCCTCCCAGGCCTCAGCTGGGGGCCAGCTCCTGGGACTGGTGTCCTCTCCCTCCCCAGCCTTTTCTCTGGGCAGATCCCTGCCCAGCCCCTCCCTGCCTTGTCCTCAGGCAGGGCCTGCCCCTGTCCTTCCTCCAGACCCTGCAGCTCTGGGGTGGGTGGCGGAACCCCTTGTTTCAGGGCCCCCAGGAGGTGCCCTTGGCTCAGGGGACTGTGTGTTGGTGGTGGGGGAGGGGTGAGGGGCAGGGGGGATTCCTCACCAGGGGAGCCAAAGACAGGGCTGTGCCTCACCCCAGGAGCTACCTCTGTGCCCATCCACCCTCCCTTCAGGGGGCCTGCTGCTCTTCCTCCCCTTCTGCCCCTCCCCCAGCCCAGCTCTGAGCTGCAGGGTTCCCACCCCCACCTGGGCAGCCAGGAAGGAGCATGAATGGAGAATCCCCAACGCAAAAAGGACTGGAGGCCTCTGGCCGCCCCTGTTCCTGTGGGACAGGCCAGCTGCGGTGTCCAGGTGTCCACGTGGAGAGCCCACACCTGCCCTTCTCTGGCTGAGCCCCCCCCCCCCCCCCGCCTGTAAGGGAGCCTCACATTCAGGACTGTAAGGGGGGGAGCCCCTGGGAAGGTGAACAAAAAAACTTCAGGGACACTGATGAAGATGAACTAAAGGTCTTTTGTTAGAAAACAAATAAATAAATAAAATAAAATAAATAAAACGCGGCTCATGACCTACTGTC